ATAAACTTAAAAAAATTACTAGTAGTAAATAAGGTACCGTAAAGGCGTAGTACATGTATACAATGTATATGTTGTCTTATTTAATCATATTCATTGTACCTGCTTTTTTGGCTGATATTAAGTGGTTATTTCAGCTTTTTTTTTATTCAGACAGAGTAGCATAGAGATGCAATTAATTTCATTTTTCATAATATTCATTCATTCATAAAAATAATAAAGATACCTAACCTAATGATAAAAAAAGAAGAATAAATCAGATTGGTGATCAATATCTAAAGACATGATGGCGGATCTAAGGGAATACTGTAGGTTGTAATATTTTCGTTCGTTTATTGCTTTTCTCATTTACCTAAGACAAAGCGACATGAGATATTTGTCTCATCTTTTTTAATTATGATTATGGCTAATTGATTTCAAACATTTAGCTTATAAGTCATGTATTATAGTCTAAATTTATGAGCGGTGGATCCAAGGGGAGTTGATATTTAAATACTTGTGGTGGATCAAAGGATACTAATGATTTTTGCAAATTTATTTCAACGTTTAGTTAATATTTCTGTGTGTGATCATGATCTTAACTAAGAAGTGGTGGATCCAAGGCAAGTGGATATTAATTGTTTTGATAGCCATAAGAGTTGTGGTGGATGTAAAGGGAGTAGATAGATATTTGTAATAGGTCAAAGGATAATAATGATTATGGATAATTGATTTCAAACATATAGCTTATATGTCATGTGTGATCAAGATCTAAACTTATAAGTGGTGGATCCAAGGGGAGTGGATATTTATCTTTTTTAATTATTTGTGTTTGATCAAAGGTTATTAATGAATTGTGATCATGTCTAATTTATTTCAAACATTTAGCTCGTGATCTTAATTTTAAAGTGGTTGATCCAAGGCAAGTGGATATTATTTTTAAATATTTGTGATGGGTAAAAGGACATTACTGATTCCGGCTAATTGATTTCAAACATTAAACTTATATGTCATGTGTGATCAAGATCAAAACTCATAAGTGGTGGATCCAAGGGGGGTGGATATTTATCTTTTTTAAATATTTGTGAATGATCAAAGGATATTAATGATTTATGATTATGGCTAATTTATTTCAAACATTTAGCTTTTATGTCAGGTGTGAACATGATCTTAATTTAAAAGTGGTGGATCTAAGGGGAGCGGATATTATTTTTAAATATATTTGTGGTGGGTAAAAGGATAATAATGATTATGGCTAATTTATTTCAAACTTTACAAATCTTACATGTCATGTGTGATCAAGAACTTAACTTATTAGTGGTGGATCCATGGGGAGTGGATATTCATTTTTTAAAGAAATATTTGTGGTGTATCAAGGATATTAATGACTATGCCATAGTCATTAATATCCTTGATATGGCTGATTGATTTTAAGCATTAAGATTATATGTCATGTGTGGTCATGATCTAAACTGATAAGTGGTGGATCCAAGAGGCATAAATATTTTATTTTTAAATATTTGGGTGAATCAAAAGATTTTAATAGTTGTACTTTGTGATATATAACTGAATTGAGTTCCATTAATTAAATATGTAGATATATTGCACATGAATTAAATAAATCCAATCTTATTAGTGGTGAATGCAAGGGGAATGGAGATTTAAAAAAAATCCACAAACTAGACATCATATAAACCTAACATATATAAATATACATTAGTTAAGGAAAGAGACCCTCTTTGGACACTGTGAATTGGTTGCTATTGTGTTGGTATTAAATTTTCTTGTTTCATTTTTTTAAATATTCAGATTAATGGTCATCGATCAAATAATCTGTGAAGAGTTTTATGATGAATGTTTCATTTTGGGAGGCAACTGCCTTAGAAACCTGTTTTCATATAAATCTTCTTTTACATAAGCAAAAATTTGAAGAATGAATACTTGAAAATTTGAAAAATAATAGATATTTGTTATAACTATCCACTTTTATAAAATGAGAAACAGAGAAGATACTAATGATCCATTAGTCTAAGAAAAAAACCCAAGTTTTTAGGAATTATCTTACAGTAAATATATCAATACATGGGATTTAAAACCCCATGATAAAGAAACGTGGGAGAAAAAACCCCATATGACAATATAAGCAACATATGGGTTTAAAAAACCTACATTGATTTTCGTGGGGTTATTTCCCCCATGGGGTGAAAAATAAACCCCATGGGGTTTTTGTGGGGTTTTTTGTGGGGTATTTTTAAGTTCATGTTTCCCCATGGGATTTTTGTTTTTGAACTCAAATATCTCAAAAACTAGCAGAAAATGTTGAATTTTTTTTTTCATAAATCAATTTGATTATAAAAACCCCACCATTTAAAAAAAACCCTAAGATGATAGCTTTAAAGGAAAAGGGTGCGCAAGTTCGGAAAAATGTCCATTCCGAAGTTGTCCGTCCCATTCAGCATCTCGAGACTGATATTGGCTTTTAGTAATTCTATCCTAATTTTTAGAATTCTTTTCAGAGGAAATGTTTGCGCCCCTAAGGTCATACTTAAACCTCTATATATACTAGAAGTTTTTTTTTTATCTTTTATCAATTCCGTACCCCCGTACAAATATACGTGTAAAGCATGTTGAACTGTCAAAGTAAGCCGTCGAAGTCAATGTTTCTCACAAAAGACCAATTGAATAATAGTAATATCTAAAAAAAAAAAGAAAAAGAGAAAGAAAAACACCAGATGGTCATTAAACATTTTTGATAAAAATATTTATGAAAACCCTCGCATTTTTTTTTATCATTTTAAAAATACGTATAAGATTTTCACGAAACAATTCACAGTTTTCACATGTTAGACAATCAAATTTTTAAGAGAATTGCAATTAAATAAAATAGGGGGAAACAATTAAAATTTGGCCAATCCAAATATATTAGAGTGTAAGAACTGTTTTGACACATGTACTTAGTAAGTCGATCTGTTTGTGGCTGATCTGTACTTAACTGTACTTAGTAAGTTAGTTTTACTCAGCATCAGCTGCGTTATGTATGCTCAAGTAACATTTATGTAAAGATTTCATTGTCACGTTTTATTGAAACAAGTTTGTGTGATCATACATGTACTCCTTTTTGTGGAATTAATGGTGACGGTGTATGCGAAGTGATAATTAAGTAGAGGGAAATAACTGGTAAATGTCTCTAAATATTTATCTCTATACACACGTAGGTAACCGACATTACGTAAATTTACATATCCTTGTAATTTAATCAAAATTGTTAATTTGTAATGCTTGAGTTTTTCTTCCGATATTCATTGTACTGTTTAAACAAGGGCGCTGCAAAATTGAGCATATTCTCACAAAAGAGCATATCTATTTAAAGCAACTTTCCACTTCGATCCCGATGCAAATTACATTAATTCCGTTACGCACAACAAACTAACCCACCCACAAACAAGCGCGTTGCTTACTCTATCCCCTCCAACTCTGTTGCGAAGGAATTATAATTGCATGGCAAGATGATGTCAATCTGCACACATGAATGTAAGTCTATGATTTCTGCGAAAAAATAAAATCACTTTTTCTATGCGGTTTATGATTGCGTGTTCGAACCACATCGACCGGGAAGAGTCAGCAGAAATCGGAGGAACCGTAAAGCCATCTGTGAAAACAAAATGTTTTGTTTCCCACTTAGTACTAACTAACTGGCTCAAAACTTTAATAACCTCCAGGAAACATAAAAAAGAAATTATGCATTTCAGAAAATTTTTGAAAAATAAGCATTGATGTTGAAATTTTCTTAGAAAAAGTTTTACCTACCTACCGACCCAATTTATTCAACCTGAATCGGTAACGGGCACAGAAAACATTATTATAAAGTTAGCTTAATGATCCTCGAACACTACAGGAAATATTAAACGCTTAATTTTTCTAATGTTGTCTATGCAAATTTCTAATGCGCACTGTTACCTTACACCTTGCGGTACCGGACAACATGCAGTGTTCAAATACAGCAGTTCAAAATACTGTATTTGTTCGGTCAGAACTTTTGTATTGAAGTCAAGCTTTCGAAATTTTTACAAAAGAACTATCCACGTGGGGCGTTTTTTTTTAAATTATATCTGCCGAATTTTTGTTGTACTTTATTTTTGTGTGTACACGTGAGGGGGGGGGGGGGGGGGTTGTTGTTAATAAGCAATCTTAGTTATGGACTCAGGGTAAATCTGCAGCTGAACAAAGATTTTATTGATATTATTTTTTCCTTTCTTTGTTTCTTCTCTTATTTTTCTATTATTCATACTGTTTTTCTCTTTACTATTTCTTTTCATTATATCTATTTAAGTAAAACACACCAATTTTCAATACTGGTGAGTTGGTTTTGCTTTGTCACATTTCTACTATTTTATTTTTAGCTTTAATGTTGAGCATTAATACACAAATTTTTTTCCACACTTCTCAAAGATGTATACCTTTAAAAATTTGTTCCTATACAAATCTGTACAAAAAAGTCTAACATTTCTAATGTTTTACTGAGCGGGCATAAAGAATCGATGTTTGACCGTTGAGTGAGATGTTGGACCTGTTGATGAGATGTTGGGTTGTCATACAATATGGGCAGAGCTTAATTAATCTCATTTTCATTCGTTGGTATTTTACAGTGACGGGCCTGAGGTTTACATTATGGAAGATAGTGCGATGCATGTATGTAAAAAACAAAATAAAAGGTAAAACAAAACATTTATTGCCAGTGTTCTCGGGCAAAATGCGTTGTGTCGACCCTCGAACCAAACTGTCTGTCTCCGGCCTAACGGCACCAGGCAGACAGTTTGTTTCTTGGGTCCGGCATGTTGCCCGAGAACACAGGCAATAAATGTATGGTGTTGACCGAACGCGTCCCGAAATTCAGTTTAAATACTTTCTAGAAAAAAAGACGCCTGCTTCTAAATACTCTTTTATAATGTATCGTTGAAAAATTATCTAGTAACATTAATTCTGATATACACTGAGAATTCTTGAAACGATTAAGTACGACTTACTTTGTGACAGCTGCTCGGCTTGTCCGCACGGCACCCACTTGCCATTTTGAAATTTCCAGTGATGGGGATCCGCCAGAATCATGTCCACAAAAACGTTATACTGTTTGTGAGGGTCCAGGCCATTCAGACTGAATTGTAGCGTGGGAAACATCCTCCTAGTAAAAAAGTCAAAAATTAGTTCATTTCATGCTTAAACCGTGATTCTGCTTACAAAGAACTAGTTAGTTTTCAAAATAGAATTGATTCAAAAGTAAGTACATGTGTACTTTGTGATAGGCTTATTAGTAGATCGCTGTTCTGAGAAAAAAGATGGGAAGGGCGACTAGAGAGATATGGTTTAGTGCCAAGGACGGTAAAAAGTGTAAATATTGCACACAATAATAAGAGCTGTTTTGGATTTAATTCTCCGTATATCAAAACTGTCATCTCCAAATATTACTAACACGTTCCTTATACTTGTGCACTCATTCATTATTTTTATATTTCCCATTACCTTTAAATATTGCCCTCCTGAGCTTGAAACGAAAATCATCCAAATTTTCGCCTATTGGATGGCGAGACAAACGCACTTCGTATTGATGGCGACTACAGAAGTATCTGATGGAGGACTCTAAGTTTTTTTTTCTCCGGTTTTTGAAATAGAGTTTTAATTTGTACATTTGAGGTGAAAAGTCGGAAAAATATCCAGGGGCTCGTTTTACAAAAGAATTTACGACTAAGACAAAAAACTACACATTATTGTAAAATTTTGCAAAATTAATAATTCTATTTGAAATTGTCCGTGTAAAAATATCTTACAACATTCTTTTAAAAAGTTTAAAATAATTTTTGATATAATGTTAATTAAAAAGTTATATGAATAATTAAAGTTGGTCTTACGTCGTAAGTCCTTTTGAAAAACGGGCCCCAGAGCTAAGTACAGCTTTGTGTGCCCGATATTTTTTTTCTCTAAGGGTAATTAAAGCTTTGCAGGGCAATGCTTTTCTCTACTTTAACTCTACTGACCTATACTCGGCACATAGGACCATTGAGTAGTAGGGGATCTTTTTCGTGCCAGCACCTACTGCGACACGGGACCTCAGTTTATACGGTCTCATCCGAAGGACCAGTCTCCGTGCCCCACAGTAGGATTCAAACCCGCGACGTACGGATCAACTCCTTTGATATAAACCCGCCGGTGAGTGTAGATTCATTCAGGGCGAAAACAGAGATTATGAGTAAAATATGTAATGATAAGAGTTCCAGGTTTTAATAATAATAATAATACTAAAATTGAGATGAATTAAATGTACAAGGTATATTCTTGTCCCAGAGTTGATCGTTTTGCTTTTCCGCGATTTTATTTTTCGTCATCTTGATTTTCCGCGATTTTAAACAAAGTGCCTGCTTTTCCGCGAGTACTTTTCACTATATTTTATGTGTTATTTCCTTTTTTTGATACTTCCTGTCGGCGATTTTTGCTTTAAACATCTAGACCAATGTTTTTTTCTAAATCTTTGTTTTATCTCAAATTAAGTGTCCAATTCAGTGTTTTAAAAGACCAATCCTGGTTCAAATCCTACTTCCGCTTCCCTATGGTAAGCAGAGGGCAATAAGTTTTATTTGGCTAACGGAAGAGGTACATGTGAAAATAAGTTGAGAGAAAAAAATAATCGCTGAAAAACAGTATTACTTGTCAATGAAAAGCAGGATTTTTTCTTATCTCATTTTTTGAAAATCAATGTCGAATCGCGGAAAAGTGGATTTCTGTCGATTTTTTCTTAACTTCTCGTGAACAATTTAAAAGCGAAGTGAGTGCAATGCAAATGTGGCTCAAGAGTGATAAACTATAAACGAAAATAGATTTCTGAATGTCAATTAAAAGCAAATTTTAAAAATAAGTGTCGAACGTACTAGGTAAGTGTTAAATGATTTCTGAACTGTACACTTTAAATAGATTACGTGATGCGTGCATTCAGTCTGTCTATATCTTGTTTGTGACACAATGAACATTTTTTAAAATACAATGCTTCAATAAATGTTAAATACCGAGTAATAAATATAAAAATGTAAAAATGAATTCTCTCATCATTTAAATTATTTTCATCATTTTAATTCACAAAATAATTGTTGCCTTTTTCATCAAAATGTATGAAATATTGACATTTGTATTTATTTCTTAAATAAAATTAATAGGTTCTTTTTATGGATTTACTGTATTTAAAAAAAAGATATGTGTTTGTTGGTGTTCTTATTTATTTGTTTATTTATTCTGTCAATTTATCACTCATTCATTTATTTAAAGTGAAACTTACATTCTGAAATAAGAATTACCTCTAAAACATTGTCAAAAATAATACCAATTCGCAGTAAAATTGAGCATTTATTTTCTTCTTCACAATCAATATGAATGTACCGTTTTTATATTTTTAAATGCTTTTTCCACTTTAATATATTACATGTAAAAAGGGAAATTATTTTATTCTTGGGTTTGTGAGGAGGATAAAGCGAGAAGAAGATCAGTAACCTTGTAATCCTTGGCTAGCGAAGGTGTAGTTTATGTAAATTACTTGAATCTGATTCGTCGAGGAACATTTATTTAAAAAAAAAACACTTTTACCCTATGAGTAATGAAACCACGCCCTCCAGCGCGATGGAACTTGGCAATCATCAACACAGAAAAAAATACGGAATCTTTCCTCACGCAAATATAATATAGTGACATGTGTATAGACAACAAGTAAATACAGTTTAAAAACGTATATACATCACACCCGGCCCATTGGACCTATATGTCACTTTAAGATATGTACAGTATTACTATAATCATTTAAATATATGAATCTCAGAAAAGTTGGTTGCTTCAAGTTTCATTAATAATACATGTATATATCGTTCTTTTGAAATAAACAAGTTACCCCAACTGTGAAAAACACACTTTTTTCAGTGAAAATGTATTTTAAACTCAATTTCATTTTTAAGAAAAATAATCATATATATATATATATATATATATATATATATATATATATATATATATATATATATATATATATATATATATGCAATAAATTTTTAAATAAAGGATTCAGAAAGGAATTGTTTCAACTTATAAACAAACCTGTTTTTTTAATAAAAAAAATTAACAAAATAAAAAAAAAACATTCGAAGCTCTAGCTATCATAAATTAATTCAAATACATATACCGTGTACGTATTTACTTTCTAGCGTGGATGTAAATAAAAATCTATGTTAATAATTATAAAATTCAAATAGAACAATATGGCCACAATGCCGAAAAAGGGACAAGTTTCAAATCTTTTGAATGTGTATTTAAGTTACTGGGCAGTGGCCGTAATAATTAACGTTCAAAAGTGGATTATCTTTTATTTATTTGTTTATTTATTTATTTATTTATTTATTTATTTTATTGCAAATAAAAGTGAATTTCTTTAATGTGCTACATTAAAGTCTGTAGTCCTTTTTGCTATATGGAGTACATACGTGTAGCGTTATAATAAATAATGTTTATTTACTTTTTTGTCTATTTATCAGCTAGATGGTTTAATATTGTTCTACACAAAATCTGCATCATATTCAATAACTAGCCTTATTAATAAAAAAAATGAATTTTTTGAAGATTTAATTTCGGCCGTCTTCGATTTATATAGCCCCTCAGACGCTTTCGCTTGAAGATTTATAACATAATATTATCAACAACTGTTCATAGAAAAATGGAATCAATGTAAAAATGTTTGAACAGCAATGTATGCCTAAATCAATGCAAGAAGAGGTATTTATTGGTATTATTTATTTCTTTGTGTAAAAACATTAGACATAATGTTTATACGACGTTTAGCTACTACAGATTTGTTTACAAAAGATTCCAATATATTTGATCTATTCAATCATAACGTCCTTGCGTGTTGTTTAAATAGATCATAAGATAGGAGTTTTTTCTGCATTTAACTCCTCTCCTTTCTCTTGGTCTATATCGCTTTGATTTGTTTCGTTCCCGGTGAATCTTTCTTTCCGAGAAATATATTATCCAATATCTTAAAAGTGTTAATCCCGTAGAAGTTTTCTTTATAAAAACAAAGCAGCTTAATATGAATTATTATATTTTTTCTTTTAAAGTGAATTTAAAAACTATGTAGAAAAATTATTTTTCCTCTCTGATTTTCTTTTAACTGCATATATATACACTATTTTCAGCCATTTGGATAATCTATGACCATGTAAATCGATTTGGGGTAAAGCAATGTTGAATATACTCGCGAAAAGGCAAATAAAATATTTTTTCTGAAGGCGAGCGGCCTTAATTAGTGCAAGATAAGAAAAGGAAGCTTTTGGATTTTGCAAACATATAACAAATAGAGACAAAATAATTATAAATGAATGAATAAAAAAAATAAATGAATGAATAAATAAATAGATAAATAAATAAATAAATAAATAAATATTATGAAGTTTTAAAAGATTTTCAAGCATTTATGGTTAAGTTTTAAAGGTGCCTAGATTTATCAAATTTGAGATAAATTCCTTTATGATGCTTAAAACAATATATAATTTGTAGGTAAACAACATTAAAAACTGTATTTTAAACTGTCATTTTCAATGAAAAATTAAGAAAACCAGTCATGAATATGGGAGTTTTATTTTCATATTCGACAGAGGAAATTATCATTTCTCTCAGAAAACGGTTTTTCAATATCAAATTTAATATAGGTATCCGGTTTACTTTTCATATGATTTCAAATTGAATGTCAAAAATACCCTTTTTTCTAATATTCTGCTAAAGCAAAGTTTGAAATTGATTATGACGTCATAATGGATCTATTAGTCAAAAGTTATTTACTAGATCTTGACCTTAAAACAATATACATTTCTCAACGCATTCATTTTTTTAAAATTCAACTTAAAATCCAAATGTTACATTTGAATGAAAGCAAAATATATCAGAGTTTTAATATACTTTCAAAATTCTAGCTACAATATAAGATTGGCCATCCCCCCCCTCTTCACACCTGTAGTCGTAGATTATATCTTGACGCACCTATATTTTGTTTTAAACATATTTTATTGAAAAATTCAAAAGGATTGAAAACAAAATTTCATATAACTTACTATTTTCTTTCCTCATATACTGCAATCTGCTAACACGGGTAAAATCATATGCGTCAAGTATTTCCGCTTTCCATAAGAAGACGATTTACATGAAATGCAACGCCTTTTTTTTTTTAGCACGTTATCATTTTCACCTTTGAATTAAATTATTCATTCATCAAGAGTAAGCTTAATTCTATAAGACAGGTGTTACTAGTAGTATATGGAATACTAAATAACCCCATGGTAGCTTGCATACATGGAGCGCTTTCTTGTTTTCATCCCCTTGTTTTGAACATAGATTATTGATATCAATCAAAAGGATTGGAAACAAGTTCTAAATAACTGAATAAATTCCTCTCCTTATATATATTACAATAATATTATGTTATGTTCACCCCCTTCCCTTTACATTCTGTATAGACATCCCCACCCCACCCCACCATTTCCACCAAACCAGCTCTTCGTATGGCGAATGAATATTTGTGTGCGCAAACATGTGTTTAGGTCTGAAGGTATAAGCATTTATTTTAGCATTAGAAAATAAAATTTATAGTTTTATATTCTACAAACAAAAACGTTCTCAATTTCCAGAAGTGCCCAAAATGCATGCATAAAAATTACTATTTAGTGGGATTTAGTTCTTGAGAATCCCTCATTATAAACGTCAATTTGATTCTGGTACGTTATTAACTATTTTCTATGAAAATAATGCAATTTTTACTTTTGTAAAACTTAAGTAAATAGTTAGTTGGCCATTTTATTTCAAAGAAGGTATAAGTGTATGTTATGGTATTAATTAATTATTTAGCTGGAATTGAAGTCTTTTACATATAATCGTAAGAATCTTGAGCTTATTTCAGTCGTGAATTCGTTTGTTAAATTTTTCATGAAAGTGGCGAGGGTATTGATTCAATTCTTTAAATATTGGTCATAATTCCCAAAAGTTAATTTCTTGTCGTCAGAAAACTCCGAAAGTTTTTTACTTTTTGTATTTTTTCCCCTTAAATAAAAGCATACGTTAACGTAGGAAATGAAGCGATCTCTTTCGAAAAAAAGATTATGAAGTTTATATTAATGTTAAATAGCTGATATCAAGAGATTTTAACAATGCCTACTTAAACAAAAATCGAGATATCCACTTTTTATTTCCTTTAAAAAAAAAAGGAAACAATATCAAGCCCCCTTATTCCCCCAAACACAATAATAGAATATTTGTTTTTCATGTATATAAATGTAAGACTTTTTTTTAAATTAATCAATTAATTGATTGATTTATTTATTTACTTATTTATTTATCTATTATTTATTTATTTATTTGTGTTTGTTCATTAATTATCTTATTTTTGCCATTTTTTTAAATTCATATTTTAATTTCTTTTACATGTAAGTAAAGGAGGGTGAACATTGGTGACAAAAGGGTGCGAGTGAATTAATTTTTGACAAAACCGTCATACCTTCCTTGCTTGGTGATGATCATTTCGGTGGTATGCTGATGGAACTTGATCCACAACTCTCTGTTACATAAATAGATGCATGGATTAAAAGAATTAGAAGGGATGGATGCAGTAGACGGTAAGGGAGCCACCACGGCCTCTGAGTTGGGGGGAGGCATGTGAATTGGGGAGGATACTGGTTGGTGCTGAGAAGGCTGAGTATACATGGGATTGCTGTAATAATGCATGGGATCCACTTCATAGCCATAACTGTCATTTTGACTGTATGGAAGCGAATACGGAGTGTCGCTCATGCGAGTCTGAGAAACCACTGGCTGCAGGCAAGCATAACTGGCCGCAGGCCCCTCCCGAGGAGGGGTGTAGCCCGTAGAGACGGGATTTATAGAATCGGGTTCATCAAAGTTTTTATCCCGGCTGTGATTGTCTAAGGGATGCTGGCCGTATTGACTGATGGGTGACGTGGATTCTTGGACGGTGTCTTGGGAGAGATAGTCCTGGCAATAGTACGGTTTGAGAGTGGACAGGATCGGGAACTGCGACTCCGATGTGTGGCAGGATTCGCTCTGTGCGTCATATATGTCCCCTTGTTGGTCATTGTACCTGTTAAAATTCACAGTATTCGCCATCCTTTTATCACGCAGGTTTTATCTGTTCTCAGTTTCTACCCTTCTTTCGCGCTAAATAATACCGCGTGGTTAGAAATTATCTTATTTGCACCGTTTGCACTTCACTGAAAGAAGTGTAAATATATGTTATCACACCAATAGTCTCATCACAGGTTCAGTGGATGAACTGCTTCTCACAAGTTGGGAATCTCCACACTTACGTATCTTTACGACTTCTTTGACAAATGAGGCAACAAGTTGTTCACTGGGCCCTGATTTTCTGTCAGTTTTTAAAAAAAGAGTCTTTGCTACCTACATCAACGTTTTGCTTCGACTACCCGCTGATATACCTGGGAATGTTTTGAAACGACAACAAAAGAACTGCGGTGATACTTATAGGTAATTATGATTATTTCCAGTGAAAGGCAGAAAAGTGTACGCAAGCTCGTTCTGCGATTGGTCAAAGGATCACGCCAGTCAATCGCACGCGTTCATTTCACTTCAGCAGAACATTGTTCAGTAATTTAATCGGCGGACCCAAAAATTGTGATAAACATTCAGTTCTAATGAGTTTCTCGGTCGGAAACATTGCATTCAGCAGATGTCACAATTTTTTGGCATTTTGAGTTTCATTAGGGATACTAGAAATATAAATGATTTTTTTCCATGAATGAAAACCACCCGCAATAAAAGAACTTCAACAGTACAACGGCGATGGAAAGAAGGAACGTATAGCTACAAGAGGACCGATTTTCAATTCGGTAAAACCCGCACCCAAATACTTTGTAAATGAATTGTTTACAAAAACAAAAGAAAAAGTCATTCAACAGAAATGTTTTATCCACAGCAAGAATATTACACAATTAATATTTTTATACGCCTAGCAATAGTACATATACGGACCTGAAACATCAAAGGGTGCGGAGTCCTCAATATACGTCTAATAGACGATGACTAAATATACTTTATTTTTCTTACATTTTAAAAATAAATCTATCTTGTGAAAACGCGAAGAAAAATATTTGGGATAAGCATATAGAGAAGGTGCGAATTTAAATAAAACCAAAACATTTCTTAAATATATTAGATTTTCAAACTCGAAATTTACAGTCAATGTCAAAATTCAAATCTAAAATTAGCAATAAAAAATCTAGTTCTACTTGGCCTTCTTACTTTGATTACGGTAACAGAAGACTAAATGTTCTTCAAACCAGACTACGACATAATTGTGTATTAAACAACGACCTTTATAGATGCAATTTAATATCAAGTCCCTTGTGCACGTGCGGTAAAGTTGAGGACACATATCATTATTTTTTCGCGATCGTATGTCCAAAGTATGCGAAAGCCAGAAATGAATTTTTACATAAATTTTTACAATTTGATAAAATCCACATTTTAGATACACGTGTCTTATTATAGGGGGTTGATTCAATGAATGCTGCAGAGAATTAACGTCTTTTTTCTTTTGTTCAAACATTTATCAAGGATTCTGGTAGATTTCCTTGTTAATTACTGTAACGAATATATGATTTTTTTCTCAACTTTATTTGTATTTATACGTATCTGCAAAATGCATCAATTTGTTTACTATTGCAAATGCTGAATACTTTATATAGCATGTTTAATGTGACAATATAAATGTGTAATGTACAATGTACATATAGGGAGAGGGCGTTATAAGTTTTCAGAACTTGTGCCCAATCCCTTTGCAATTATATTACAATAAAATATGTTCAAACCAAATTTTCATAAGCATTAAAAGTATCGACTTCTAAAATGAACTACTATCATAGTTTTATTGGACGTAATTGAGTTTGTTTCCACGTATTTTTAACACGATACTACCATTTACGTCTTATAAGTGCATCTTTGTTTTATTCCACTGGAGTTGTTCTTAATGCAAGCCGATTGTCGACTTTTCTGTCCATAGGATTCCACCGATATGCGGAAAAATTATATTTTGATATTTAAAACTCAGAATATTTTATTTAATCCATTTATCAAAAAAGCAAACATTCTGAAGAAGTTTTAAGTTTAAGAAGTATTTTATTCATAATATACAAAGTGTACAATATGAATATGGATTGAACAGCAGGCCAAGGGCCTATATTAGTTCTCTCCATTTGAGATCAAGGTACAATTAAATTACATTCTGAAGAAATAAATCAATTTAGCACTATAAAAGTACTCATAATAATTTAAATTCTGTACTAGATCAATATCTCTCTTTCATGATCAGTATTTTTTCCTGTATAATACAACAAAATCATAGCCTTTTTACGTTTTCTCAGATTATCGTAAATATATTTGATGAATTTCTAAAAATAGGTGTATGATCAATTATTTATATTTGAAAGAGGAGAAATCCCTCCTCAACCTCACCTCATGGTTAGGTAGTATGAAGCACAAAATACCTGATGTCAATATTATTGGTTTACATGTATATTTTAAAAAAAAACATTCATAATAAATCCAGTCTTATGAAAAGACATAGACTATAATACTACTGTACACATTGGCTACAGTCTTTTATCAGTCTCTGTCAGAAGAAAGAATTTTTTTTCCTTTGTGAACATGCAGTATGTATGGAACTTAATACTGACTTGTTTATTTGCAAATCTATCCTGAAACTTACAGTAGTTTACTGACTCTCTCAATACTTACATGTTTAAGAATCATCTTAATCCTTTTGTGTGTATGTTTAATACTGGAGTCATGGGCTAGTAATTGCTGCTCGAATTTGTTCTATGGACACATTCAGCAATTTCACTTTCTTGGAAACTGTTTGTTTGGGTTTAAAACCTGTGAAATTTTACATTACTTCAACAATAAACTATTGCATCCCGAGCATCTGTATGTGGTATTCCTACTACAACTGTGTCAGACTCAAAAAAATGCAATGTGTGTACATATGTTAACACTTTTTGTTCTACAAAGTTTGTTTTTCATCTGCATATATTTTTTGTTCATTTTTTGTTTATTCTTGTTTCAATTCCATTCTGTTTTGTTTTATTTTTCTCCATTTATTTTTATTCCAGCCTATTACTTGCACACTATATTCCATTTCATTATTATCCTCAAGTTACATGTAGCTAGAGATGTCAGTTCAAATGTTTTTTCATTGATTAGCAACAAATACCAAAAATGCGAACAGTATCCTGTTTACTATTTCATAAAATTTTTTGATATCTCAAACAATCACTTTAATATCATTGTGATTACAATATTACTAATAAGTGGATGTGTGGAAACAAACCCAGGTCCAGCAGATTATAAAAAAACACATAAGTATTGTGCACAACAATGTATGTAGTTTACTTCCAAAACTTGATATTATTAGTTACACAGTCAGTTAGTGACCTAATACGGAATCATACAGGGTGTGAAATGGAAATCCGTATTCCGTATACGGATTTCCATTTCACACCCTGTATGATTCCGTATTAGGTCACTAACTGACTGTGTTACGAATTTATCCCGCTGAAGACCTAACGTTATATATATATATATATATATATATAAAGAAAATCTATGTGCATATTATGAAAATATCATGTTTTAATCCAATAACAATCAACATAAAATATCGTAACAAGAAATTTAAGTAATCAAACTACCTACGCAAACCGTTTCTTAGCCGCCATTTTTATTTACAATAACAACGCTTGGAACGGAATCGCGTGCCCGATTTTCATATTACGCCTCGACGGAGACGTAATACGGAAAATTTCAGGGCGTCACGTGATCAGCTTTTATCCAATCAGCAATCGACAAATTTGTCTGAAGCGGGATAATATTAGAAATGATTTATCAGGAAATGATATAATTGCCATTACTGAAACTCACTTAGATCAGAGTATCGACAATAGCAATCTTTCACTCGATGGTTATTATCAACCAGTTAGAAAAGACAGAAATAGATATGGTGGAGGAGTTGCATTGTACATTTCAACTAGATTAAATTTTAAAGTAAGAAATGATTTAAATTTTTTCTGATATTGAAATTTTATGGGCAGAGATCCAGAACATTGTTTTATCAACTGCCCATCATATAATGTTGAAAGAAACTATTGGTAAAAAAATTAAATGATATTGATGTTGTTTTTGAACTCGACACTCTGCTAAGAGGAAAATGTCAATACTCTTATCAAACAAATTGCAAAATATTTTCATATGTACAAGAATTTATTAAATCTTACAAGAGACTAAATTAGGGACACTGTTATACTCTATTAAATGCATAATTTTCCCCCCAAATATTTGTATTATTTTTAAGCTGGAACAATATGTAAATAATATGTATACAGTTAGGGGGTTGTCATCTTTTTTGAAATATAATATTGATGAATAATACTTGATTGTGAATCTTTATTTTTCATTATAATCTAATTGATTATCATGTACATGTATTATTACTTATTATTGTATCTTGACCTATTATACAAGGAGAGGGTGTATATAGGCCTTGCCTGTTGCCCAGTCCTTATTGTATTATTCAATAAAATATGTTTAAAGTAACATGCAGTGGTTCAACGCAGTTTAAAAAAAAATCAAAGTGCGTTAAATCTGGGACCAGGTTAACACACTTTGAAAAAATAATTTTTAGTTTCAAAGTGCGTTAACTTTGGGGGAAAAATATGTGCAATTTTAGATATGATAAATAATTATTCTGTTTTTCGAAAGAAATATTAGAAAATAATGCTGTCTTTTATACATTTACAAACAGTCCGAAAAATCTGACGTTTTCCTGGCTTTTTTACGATTTTGATATTTTACATGCCAGGAAAACGTCAGAACCGGCGCCATTACGTAAACTGGGAATTTCACCGTCTTCAACTGGAGCTGATTTTCGATACTTGTGAACCGACCTAAATGCCGAAATCAGAATTTATCAAAAGCACAATGCCTCTAGTACTCACCAATATCGATGAAAAGAAAATATCGCTCCACATTTGGTAACAGGACTTGCAAGGTTTTAAAATGCGAGAAATGAAGACAAATCTCGTGAGTGTGATAAAACCTTTTTCAACGGATTATTTATTTCATAAATGAACCATAAAACTATATTGGTAAGTTCTTTAAGTATTGTACTATTGATAACTTTTGACTTTGAAATTTAATTCAGTTCACAAGTATCTAAAATCAACTCGAGAATGCCGCCTCCGGTTGGAGGCGGCGATTTCCCAGTTTACGTAATGGCGCCGGTTCTGACGTTTTCCTGGCATGTAAAATATCAAAATCGTTAAAAAGCCAGGAAAACGTCAGATTTTTCGGACTATTTTTCAAAGTGCGTTAAATACCTCCAAGGTATAAAATGTTGGTGTACATTCTTAATACACTTTGGGAAAAAAAAAACAAAACAAAGTGTGTCGATTTTGTCCCAAATTTGACACAATTTTAAAACATTTTTCAAAGTGCGTTGGTTTTGTCCCAGTTTTAACGCATTTTGAAAAACATTTCAAAGTGCGTAATTTTTCAAAGTGCGTTGCCACAATGCAGTTCATAACTCGGTGGCATATTCAAAGGAAAAAAATCAAACATGTGCATCAAACTTGAATCCGCAAACTTTCGTATTGCCGAAGACTCTAACAGCGGAATTTCCAACAAGTTTTTACATTGCGGAAATGAATAGACACATTTTATTTTTCATTAAGGACAGATGATACAAACTTTTGTCAAAACAATTGAAAATAACGACTTGAGTCATGCTTTAATGAATAAAATGAACAAAGTTCACCGAGTACTTTCTAAATTTTTAGTCGAATTTTCACAAAAATGGAATTTGAAGTGAAAAATATTTGTATCGATTAATAAGGAT